TAGAAAACATATCCGCATGGCGCAGCTGACACAGAATAGCATACACTGTTTACGATCAGTGGATATTCTCCAAAATGGCACCAGGGTGACACGGAGGAGACGAATTGTTGAATAAAGTCGTTATTTTTGTTTTCTTTGCGTACAAAAAGTATTCTCGTAGCTTCATAAAATTCCCATTGAACCCCTGATGTCACATGGATTATTTTACCAATCTCCTTGCTACGTTCTTGCTTAGAATGCATCCAAAATATCTTAATTTGTGTTCCGAAGACGAACAGAGGTCTTACGGGTTTAGAACGACATGAGGGTGAGTAATTAATGACATCATTTTTGGGTGAACTATCTCTTTAACGATCTGTCAGTCACAGACTGCGTGACTTCGCCTGTGGAATTTTTGTTTTTCTGCAACTAAGTGACAGTAAGCGATTAGTTGACTATTAGGCGGCAGCCCTACCCACAATTGAATTTAATTGAATTTATTTCATTTTATTTTTTATTTTGGCATGTATTAATGATGACTTGAGTCTGAATAGCTAAAAATAGCATCATGGAAACTCAAAAGTTTTGTTTAAAGCTGGAGTTCTGTGTGTTAGGCACGCTCATAAAGATCCTGATGGGCTCGGGGCGCATTGTAACACGCGAGCCGATGTGGGGCGGTTTGTTAAGGCCTACCTGCTGCAGGTTCCTCGCTCTCGGGTCTCAGCAGGGTTCAGCGGCGGAGCGTGCTGGGTTACAGAGGCAGCTAATCACGGCTGAGCGAGGCCACTGCTGTGGGCTGCCTTGTTTATCTGCCTCCTGCTCCTCCCGCCTGAACTCGTACACCCTGTTTCGCTCTGATCAGCGGGAGGAGAGAACAAAACACATGCGCCGTGTCCTCAACCTGAAAAATGCAGCCAGTAAACAGTGGTAGGGAAGCATCAAGACATGTTCGAGTTCAGTGGTTGTGTAACATCTTGTCTGGTAAGATGCCTTCATCTGGTCAGTATTTGAAGATGTCATATGTATTCATAACTTAATGTGAAATCCCATAATCCTGTGAATAGGGTTGCAACAATAATTCAAAGGTAAATAACTGATAATAAAAATAAATGGCACCAAATTTCATTATCAGTCAGTCAGGTCTTGTTTTTATAAATCAGTGATTTAAAATGTAACATTATTATAAAAACTATGCACAGTTGTAAAGCTGTCAGATAATTGTTAAACCTTTTTATACACTATTTATATCATAACCTTATATACAGACACATAAATACACATACATATACTGTATGTATTTTTTTTATTTATTTTGTGTTTAATTTAAAAATATTGGTGATTTTTATATTGATTTTTAAATATTAAAAAAAATATTTATCAATATTTTATATTGGTGATTTGTTTATATTTATCATTATGCCAAAAATAAAATAATTTAAAAAAGGCATAATATAAAATTGTTGTTTTATATATAAAACGTTTATAATATATATGTTTTTACATATTTTTGTATGTTTTTAGTTTGATTTTAACTGTTTTATGTTTTAGCTGTGTTTTTTATCTGCATTTTGAATTGAAATAATTAATTACATTTTTATTGCACATTTTTGCATGATTTTTTTATCTGTTTAATTAAAAAATAATTAGGAAATAATTCTTGAACATATTGATCAAAATAATCTTCAGTTGCAGCCTCATTTTCAGAGATAGCCTGGGTTTGTTGGGTTTCTCAGTCTGGGCTGCACTATTCGGTGCATGTTCCTCAGGAACGGCTCTTATCAGCGGATGATTGATACTCTCTGTTCTGATCTGAATTCACAGGGATAAGTGTAGCTCTTATCTGAGCCCCTGTGTGCATTACATGAATGGATGAGGTCGCTCGGGTCCTGTCACTCAATCAGATCCACAGATATGATTAAGTCGAGATGTATGAAGGCAGATCGGTTGATAGTAGTTGAGGCTGGGAGTGTGGAGGTTTGGCTCTCGTCTCTATTTTGCTAGTCCTTTGACTATACAGGCTTTTGATTATAGTCATAAAGTGTGGTCCATTTTACAGCTTATTCTGGACAAGAAAACCCATCTTAGGTGGGATGAGTCTGTCTGGATGACATGCAAAGTGGCCAACTATGGTTTGTTTTGTTATTGTATGTAGCCATCAATCCATGTAAAAGCCATTTTATTGATTTTTTATTTTATTTTATTTTATTTTACTTTGCTTTGCTTTGAAGTCTGAAATCAGTAATCATCAAACAGTAATAGATATACCCACAAACATTTTATTTTCTTATGATTTTTATTTTCTTAAGCTTTTATTCCATTTTAGTTTTAAAAGCTTTTATTTTATTATTTTTATTATTTTATTTTAAATATTATTTATTATTATGTATTATCAGTTGTTGCTCTTCAAACATTCACAAAAAAGTTATTAACTTTATTATTTTACTGTAGTTAGTTTAAGGTTTTATTATGAAATATATTGAAATGTTCTAAAAAAATATATATATATTTTTTGTAGTTTTAGTATATATGTTGGACAAATTAAGGGGTTCAAACAGTCGCAACTTTATTTTATTATTTTAGTTTAAGGTTTTATTATTTTGAAATATATTTAAATATATTTGAAATATATATTTAAATATCACATTTTTTTTCTTTGTAGTTTTATGTAAGTTGGCCGTATTAAGGGGTTTGGAGGCTGCTGTAAAAGCATAATTCTGTTGGAAACACTGTTAACCAGTGTCTCAAATTTTGGGAAGAAACTGAGCAAATGTGTGCGTTGTTGTCTCCAGACCAGAACAAAGTATTCCTGAGTGTTTTGTTCTGTAAAGTTCACTTTTCCTATCACACGGGCAGTGCACTGAGCTCTGCACAGAATTGCCCTCGACCTCCATACAGCAGAGATGATTCGTCATCATCTGATTTTCAGTTGTGTGACAATGTTTTCCTGTCTTTCTGCAGTTCAGAGCAGGTTTGAGGACAGATTGGGCGCCTACTGAAGTGATGTTAGGGTAGAAAAACTGAATATGTAACAACAACACAATACGAACGTCTCTCAGATTTTCTGAGGCGGTTGTTCGTCTTCTCTGCAGTGTTCTGTGAAAACTGAGGCGTAAAGCCCTCCGGTCTCACTTTGAGAGGAACTGACGCTGCTGTTGATCCGTGGAAACGACCCTGAGCCCTGTCACCGCCTGCCACCGCTGGCAAAACTGTGACTGGAATGTCTAATGAATAAAACACTGTGAAGTCTTTGAATTCCTTCTTCTCGACTCCTCGTCTCTCTCTCTCTCAGGCTGTGATTCACTGACAGTCTTTAGCGAGTAGGTGCGAGACACATCGGGGTCAGTATGTCAAGAAGCTCACTCGTGTGAAGTGCATCTGAAGCTCATTACTGTTAGATTAATCGCTGCTCCCGGTGCTGCCATACACAAACTCATTACAGCTGAGGAGAATGCGCCTGAATGTCACAAAGTTATTTTTCACATTTCACATTAAAAGATTTATTCATTTTTAAAATGTAATTAATATGTATATGAATACATTTATATTTAATTAAAAAAATTAATATACACTATACACCAAATAACTTTTTTCTATTTTAACATTTATTTATTATCTTTTATTTATTTCTGTGATGGCAGCATTTATTTGCAATGCTTTTTTAACATTATACTGTCACTTCTGATCAATTGAATGTGTCCTTGCTAAATAAAAGTTTTTTTTGTTTTTTTTTATAAATAATAATCTTATCAACCCAAACTTTTGAACATTAGTATAAATAAAATGAAGCCTATTTTTGTACCACTAAAATTTTCTTGCATTTCAGACATTTTCTCCCTAAATTCTCATTACTATATTATTATTATAATAATATAAATAATAAATAAATAAGCAATAAATAAATAAATGATAAATTACTGTAATTAATAAAAGTATATATTTTTTATTTGATCATAAATTAAAAACTAAATACAAGTTTGTTTGTTTATATATATATACAGTGGGGCAAAAAAGTATTTAGTCAGCCACCAATTGTGCAAGTTCTCCCACTTAAAAAGATGCAAAAACTACTGCTTTAATGGATAAATACTTAAAATAAATGTATAATAATATAATATACGTTTTTTATAATGAGTTTTTTCCCACATTACCGTAATAAAAAGTGCTTAATTGCTTAATTGTCTTAGTCACAATATGAAATAATATGGATTTGTTTATAACCGGTTTAGTGAGATTCCCCCTGTGCACATTTTCTTCCTTTGTTCTGGTGGATTATTATGAAATGAGATGTGGGGCGTTTTATGGTTCCAGTGCTCCTGTGTGTGTGTGTGTGTGTGTGTGTGTGTGTGTGTTTGTGAATGCTAATGCTCTCATGTATCCTGTAGTGAGCGTTTCTCTCTCTCTTCCTCTTTTAGAGATCTAGGCTATTTATAGCTGCTTCTCCCAGAGTTATCATGCCTAATGATGTTGTTTTGCCTTTCCACATAATTACAAATCCTGCTTTAGGAAATCTGTTGCGTGTTCATTTCATGTGCGCTGTGGACCTTTCTCAGGGTAGACGCTGGATTTAAACCGATGCAAATAAAAGGTAGGTTTTGAGAGGTAGACGTACATTGTACATTCAGTAAGTTCAGTATAGAATATTGAAAATACGGCAAAAAATTCCTGAGTGAAACTTCAGAGAAAAAGCATCTGGGACCTGATATGAAAGCTGCATCAGTGGTGAAAAGTTAGTATGTTTTTGATGCAAAATTACAAAGAGAATCTGTTTTGTGGTGCATTAATGCATAATGAGACTAGGAGCATGTATAACCGTAAATAGAGACAGTTTTGTTACCTTTAAGATAGTGAGTGTATGTCAATCCCTGAGTCATTTGCTTCAAAATATGGTATCTTCCCTGGCAACGGTCCATATGTTGCATATGTAATTTGTGTGCAGAGCTGTAATGCAATATCCTGATGACTTATGCTTCCCTGATCCTCAGCATTTCTCAGTTGGAATGGTTTCTCTCTGTCTCCCACAGATGGACTTCCCAGTAAAGAACAGCCACTGGAACTTCTGAAGCCATCTGGAGTCAATCACATTCCTCCTGGTAGGATCGAGTCTTCTCTGTGTGTGTGTGTGTGTGTGTGTGTGTGTGTACTGGTATATATGGTTTATGAGGACACAAATGTGAATAATGATATGGGTACTACAATGTAAAAATGGTTTATGAGGACACTTCCTGTGTCCCCGTAAAACAAAAGGCTTAAAAAACATTCAAAACGGTGTTTTATGAAATTCAAAAATTGCCAGTAGTTTTCTGTAAGGGGTAGGTTTAGGTGTAGGGTTGGTGTAGGGCGATAGAAAATACAGTTTGTATAGTATAAAAACCATTACGCCTATGGAGAAGTCCCTACAAGAATAGCTAACCAGATTTTGTGTGTGTGTGTGTGTGTGTGTGTGTGTGTGTGTGTGTGTGCGCATGTGTGTGCGCGTGTGCGTGTGCGTGCGTGTGCGTGCGTGTGTGTGCGTGCGTGTGTGTAGTCCAGTCAGCTGTGGGCATCCCTGTTGGCATAGCCAAGGGTCATAGGTCATCAAACAGGGTTGCTGAATAAGAGCATCTGATTGGTGTTTTTTATGGGTCTTTGAAAGAGATAATTCACCCAAAAATGTGAATTCTGTCATGATTTGTGTTCCAAACCCAGAAGACTTTGGTTAATCTTTTAATTTTTTTTTGTTATTGTTCATGTTATTTCGATTGAAAGTTCAGGTAACCAAAAATGTGAAGATCCAAAAAGGTCATAAAGACAGCATAAAATAAATCCATATAAATAATGTTGTTTAAAATGTTGTTTAATCCAAATCTTGTGAAGTGGTGCAATTGTTTTATATGATTAACAGTTTTAAATCAAAGTCTTCTGGATTTGAAACGATGTGAGGATGAGAAAATGATGACAGTTTTCATTTTTGGGTCTCTTTAACAACTTTGAATTCAGTGGAAAAATTTACCATCGGAAGTTTGTCTAGGGTTTATTTTTCTCTAGAAATGTGTGGCAACATGTGGTGTATTTTTTTAAGTCATCAAAATGAAAATATGAGGAACAAAATCACTGTTTTTGCGCCTGGAGCAGTTTCACAGAGATATGGAGACTGACTCATCTCATATATGATGTTGCGCTTGAAACAATAACCTGAGAAGTTTATCAGACATAAGCAGTGGAAAAACAGCTGACAAACATGAACAAACTAACATGATCCCGATGTCACAGAGACTTAATTTTTATCTATCTGTCTGTCTGTCTGTCTTTCTTTCTTTCTTTCTTTCTTTCTTTGTCTCTCTGTCTGTCTCTCTGTCTGTCTGTCTGCCTGTCTTTCTTTCTTTCTGTCTGTCTGTCTCTCTGTCTGTCTCTCTGTCTGTCTGTCTGCCTGTCTTTCTTTCTTTCTGTCTGTCTGTCTCTCTGTCTGTCTCTCTGTCTGTCTGTCTGCCTGTCTTTCTTTCTTTCTGTCTGTCTGTCTCTCTGTCTGTCTCTCTGTCTGTCTGTCTGCCTGTCTTTCTTTCTTTCTGTCTGTCTGTCTCTCTGTCTGTCTCTCTGTCTGTCTGTCTGCCTGTCTTTCTTTCTTTCTGTCTGTCTGTCTCTCTGTCTGTCTCTCTGTCTGTCTGTCTGCCTGTCTTTCTTTCTTTCTGTCTGTCTGTCTCTCTGTCTGTCTCTCTGTCTGTCTGTCTGCCTGTCTTTCTTTCTTTCTGTCTGTCTGTCTCTCTGTCTGTCTCTCTGTCTGTCTGTCTGCCTGTCTTTCTTTCTTTCTGTCTGTCTGTCTCTCTGTCTGTCTCTCTGTCTGTCTGTCTGCCTGTCTTTCTTTCTTTCTGTCTGTCTGTCTCTCTGTCTGTCTCTCTGTCTGTCTGTCTGCCTGTCTTTCTTTCTTTCTGTCTGTCTGTCTCTCTGTCTGTCTCTCTGTCTGTCTGTCTGCCTGTCTTTCTTTCTTTCTGTCTGTCTGTCTCTCTGTCTGTCTCTCTGTCTGTCTGTCTGCCTGTCTTTCTTTCTTTCTGTCTGTCTGTCTCTCTGTCTGTCTCTCTGTCTGTCTGTCTGCCTGTCTTTCTTTCTTTCTGTCTGTCTGTCTCTCTGTCTGTCTCTCTGTCTGTCTGTCTGCCTGTCTTTCTTTCTTTCTGTCTGTCTGTCTCTCTGTCTGTCTCTCTGTCTGTCTGTCTGCCTGTCTTTCTTTCTTTCTGTCTGTCTGTCTCTCTGTCTGTCTCTCTGTCTGTCTGTCTGCCTGTCTTTCTTTCTTTCTGTCTGTCTGTCTCTCTGTCTGTCTCTCTGTCTGTCTGTCTGCCTGTCTTTCTTTCTTTCTGTCTGTCTGTCTGTCTGTTGTTCTATCTATCGTTCTATTGTTCGATCTATCTCTCTGTTTGTACACCCACCAGTCTGTTTATGTCTGTCTGTCCATCTATTTTTTTTAATTTCTCCCTTTAAAATTTATATAATTTTTTTTTTTAATATTTTGTCTTTATATATTTTATTTTTATATATTTTAAATATTTGTTGTCTCTATGTATCCAAAAGGCAGTTGTATATGTATATATGTTTGTGTGTTTGTGCGCTCTCTCTCCTCTTGGATCTGGAGTAGCAGTGGATTGCTGGCTAGCCACAAACACATTGGTTATCGCTAGTGTTGTCAAAAGACCCGGTATTTCGGTACCAAGTCGGTACTAAAAAAATGAAAACGTTACGGTAC